CTGCTGCTCACCGGGGCCCAGCGGCCCGCCAGCCGGGAAGCTGCTGCAGAGGTGGGAGAGCCCGAGAGGGCTGACTGTGGCCCGAGAGCCTCAGACACAGGGGGCCAGGCGTCACTCCGCGTCCTGGAGTGCGAGATGGTGGACTTCGCTGTTACCTTTAGAGACCAGCACCGGGGAGTCTGGGGGCAGCGCTCCGGAGGAGGTGGGGGCGGAGAGACAGTTGCTGCAGGCCAGGGGTGGTCTCCGACCTGTGACAAGGGATGTGTGACGAGCCTTTCTCGCTGTCAGCTCCTCAACTCGTGTCTCTAAACACAGCAGATTCTTCCTCCTCGGCACAGACTGCCCTCCTCCCAGGTGGTCTTTGTCCTTTTGTTCTTGTCTACGTGACACAGACATGTGCTGCTCAACGAATAACAGTATTCCTCCAGAATAAACTGGTGACTATAATAGAATCAGGGACAAAGAAAGGGAGTGGATTGATAATTATCAGGGGAAAGGGGAGTGAGGGATGCAGGAAGAGAATGGAATAAAATCGTACACCTACGGATGAGGACAATGGGGAGGAGGAAAGGGCAGAGGGTGGGGCGGGAACCGTGTGAAAGGGAGCTATGGGGGGTGGGGGGAAAGGAGGAACAATTGTAATCATCTGAGCAATAAAGATTTATTTAAAAAAAATATTCCTCCACGTGGCCTCACACCTTTTCCACTGCGCGTGGGGCGTGAGGGGGTGCCCTGGCGTGGGGATGCTCAGAGCAGCAGCCTCTGACTCTGCGGGGCACAACCTTCTGTTGTGTTAACCACAGACTTTGGGGGTTCACTTGTCACTGCAGCATAGCCTCACCCTCCTGACTAAGCCACCCAAGCACATGTCAGTTTGTCAAACATACCAACCTGATCTGTTTTTCCACCACCAGTGAGTGAAGAAAATCTTCCCTCCTGTTGAATAACAACAGCCAAAATGCAGCATTTAAAAGAGACTCTGACTACAACCGGTTGTGTTTGTTTGTCTTTATTATCTTTTCTCTTGTTTAGTTTTGGGGGGAGGGGGGGTTGAACTGAAGAATGGCCCCTGAGGCTGTGCTGCCAGGCTGCCTCCATGCCCTTTGACCTGGTGAGGGACCAAGAAATGCCGCTGCTCTCGCTGGTAACCTGAGAGCTGAGACGAATCTGGACATGGATGTTTGGGCCATGGCAAGTGTTTAGAAGGGTTGACTCATAATTGCACACAGATTTCTTTCAGCCCATTCCTTTATTTAAAAACAACAACAGTAGAAAGGGATAACAGGAAATGAATCACAGTGTTTGTTGGGGCAGGATCGGGTTTACTCCAACTGTTTTCTTTTGAGTTCGAATCCAGTGTGAAAAGGGAGCTCTCCAGAGCGGGCCAGGTGAGGACATTGCGGATAAACAGGTTACCTTGTAAGTTGGAGGTGTTATACTGATGACAGAAACAGAAACAGGAGGGCGGAGAGAGGGGAGTATGCTTTCCTCTCCCCGCGGTGAACAGCCAGGGGAAGCCTTTCAGAACCTGAGCCACTCCTCCCCACGCCGAGTTCTCCCCCCCACCCCCCACCCCCACCCCCACCCCCCCACCCCTCCTCTGAGCCACTCAGTGTGGGTGCAGAGGCACCTCCCGGGTGTCAGGAAGGGGCGGGCGCTCCAGAGACGGGGTGCGGTCACTGCACAGTGAGCCAATGACATGCCTCCCGAACCCCAGCTCCCTGGTCTGTAAATAGGCCACAAGCCTCTGCAGGGCTGACGGAGTGGGTGATGGGAGAAGGAGCAGCCGATGCTCTCCCCTTCCTCCTGCCTTCGGCCTGGCGTGGCTCCGCTCTGGTTTATCAGAGCCGTGACTGGGGGCCCAGTGCTGGGAGGACGGGCACTGGTTGTCTCTAATCAGGACCCTGTCTTTGTCATTAACATGGCTTCCCCTCACAACTGGCTCGTGTGAGCTTGTAGTCATCTAAAACAGGGAAATTTCAGATGAGAAGATGCAGGAAAAAGGGCTCAGAGCAGCCAAACACCAAGGGTGCCCTTAAATTCCTTTACTGAAATATGTATTGAGCACCCTCCCCTGCAGACCTGGTCCCCCCAACTGCCCTTCTCTGCAGGCTTGGTCCCCCACAACTGCCTTCCCCTGAAGGCCTGGTCCCCCCAAACTGCCCTCCCTTGCAGGCCTGTTCCCCCCCAACTGCCCTCCCCTGCAGGCCTGTTCCCCCCCAACTGCCCTCCCCTGCAGGCCTGTTCCTTCCCAACTGCCCTCCCCTGCACCTCTGGTCCCTCCCAACTACCTTCCCCTGAAGACCTGGTCCCCCCTTCCAACTGCCCTCCCCTCCAGCTCTGGTCCCCCACAACTGTTCTCCCCTGCAGGCCTGGTCCCCCTCCAACTGCCCTCCCCTGAAGGCCTGATCCCCCACAACTGCCCTCCCCTGCTGGCCATCTTGTGGTGGCCATCTTGTGTCCACATGGGGGCAGCCATCTTTGGCCATATAAGGGAGGCCATCTTGTGTGTTGGCATCATGGTCAACTTGCATATTACATCTTTATTATATGGGATTATTGACTAGGCATGCGGCCAGAACAGGATGCAGCCACAGGCAGCGCTGAGGCTGAGCGTGGAGACAGAAGAAGTGCCCCCCGCAGCTAGAGGCTGCGGGCTGACCAGCCGCCAGCCCCATTTGCCGGCAGCTCCCCGGCCTGCAGTGGGGAGACCGCCTGGTTCGCCGGCCTTATCCGGAGGGGAGCAGGCTCTCCTGCTGTGACAGCGGCTCTGCAGCTCAGAGCGAGGCACAGGGCGCTGTCTCCCGGACGGCCTTGCAGAGAGAGGGCTCTGTTTGCCTTCTGGAAGGGTTCAGAGGGAAAGCTGCCCTCGCACGTGTTCTAACGTGAGTGCCTAAGCGAAGGGGGGGAAGGCGGGGGGGGGGGGGGGGGGGAGGAGGCACCTCTTATTTTGACAGGAGGTGGGGGTAAGCCTCTGGCTTCTCGTTTGTCCTCACGGTGGCAGTGGCAGGATCGGCTCTTCTGCTAGGAGAGCACCGGGTCTCCGGCAGAAGGAGCTGTGAGGGAGGAGGAGGAGGAAGAGCACCCGGAAGCCGGGCGTGCGGAGAGGGAGCCGGAGAGGAGGCGCCCCCCTGCGGAGGTCCTGGCCCCGAAGGAAGGCAGGAGTGGTCAGTCCTAGGTTTGGGCGTGAGCAGTCCTCCGAGGATGAGGCACGGTGGCTTAGAGGGGAAATCAAGAGTTCTATTAAGAATCCAAGTTCAGGAGAACTGGTTTGGCTCAGTGGTAGAGCGTCGGTCTGCGGACTGAAAGATCCCGGGTTCGATTCCGGTCAAGGGCATGTACCTTGGTTGCGGGCACATCCCCGGTAGGGGGTGTGCAAGAGGCAGCTGGTCGATGTTTCTCTCTCATTGATGTTTCTAGCTCTCTATCCCTCTCTTCTCCTCTCTGTAAAAAATCAATAAAATATATAATAAAAAAATAATAATAAAAATAAAAAAAGAATCCAAGTTCATGCCAAGAGGGCAGTTGAACACAGGAGTCAAGGCTCAGGGGCCAGAGTTGGAGACTTCATTTTGGGGAGAAACTGGTGAAGTGTGGGGTCCCAGAGACCAGAGATGGAGCAGTGCCGGGAGGAGGGTGGCCAGGCAGGGGGAGGGGGCGACAGGGGATGACTGGGGCCTGCCCACAGGGGCTGGTGGCTCAGGGACTGGGGGTGATGGAGGCTCCCTAAGGGCGGGGTGAGGAGATGGCAGGAAGGGAGGAGGAATGAGGCAGGAGCTGGAGGGCGGTGGGTTTTTAAAAGATTGTGGTTTTGTTAGACTCAGGCATTTGAATATTTGCACAAGGTGAATATTTAGTGATCCCCAGCCGTTCCGTCTGCCCGCGCCCTCCCGGCCCCTCACTAGAGGGGTGATGCCTGGGTAGCTGCCTGAGGGCTTCTTGGCTTGTGTTGGGGTTTGGGAATGTGAGCTACTGGCCTGGAAATACCCAGCGCAGACACCAGACAGGGGACAGGGGGACAGGGGGACAGGGGGCAGGCAATGGCGGAGAGAGGAGGGTGTGCAGAGAGGGATCAGCAGGGGCAAGGCCGGAGAGGCAGGGCCTGGCCGCGGGGAGGGTTGGCCTTTGCTGGGCAGAGACACCCCCGCCCCATGCCACTGGGGAGAGACGAGGAGCATGGGGTGAGGACCGAGGCGGAGCTGCACACCATCTGTCCCGCCCATGGGAGGGGCAGTGTGGCCGGCTGTGCTGCGAAGTCTGTGAGCACCAGCCGCTCCTCCCCAACCCGACTCCGCACAGCGCCCGCTGCCCAGAGGGCACCGCTGAAGGACCAGCAGGGGGCACCCCGCAGCCTGCCCCACCCGCCCCCACCTGCCCCCACCTGATTTTTGCTCCTTCTCTGCCCGAAGCCCCGCTCCAGACTGTGTCACTGGATCCCATCTGGGCCCCTCAGACCCTGAGGCCAGCCCCCCGCCCCCGCACGGTGGGTCCTGAGGCCCGCTGCCTTCTGCCCTGAAGTCTCCCAGGGTCCGGTTGGCAGCTGGGGCCTGGCTGGGCCGGGGAGGGGTGGGGGGGCCTGGCCTAGCGCCAGACCTCACTGTGGGGAGTACTTTGGGTCTTGGTTCTGGAGGCACAGCCTCCTGGGCAGCCTCCGCAGACACCCCGGAGGTGAAGCAGACACCCCGAGTTTGGCTGAGAGGCGAACATCTCCGCACGCAGGGCCTCCTGCCGTGAGCCCAGAGTGGGTGCTCCTGTGAGGCTCTGGGGGGCCCTCCCCTCACCGCGGGCAGGGTGCCGTGGGTGGGGATGGGACGGGACTGTGGCTGGGTGCAGGGCTGCAGAGAAGCACGCACACGCAGGTGTCCGTTTGGAAAACTTTATTGGTCCTGCGTGTCCAGCAAGGGGGCATGGGCTGGAGAGAGGCAGCACCTGGGCGAGGGGCAGGATGGCGGGAGGGGCTGCAGGAGCAGGTGAGGCACCGTGGCGGCCGGACGGCAGGCTCAGTTGCGGGCCATCTGTGGGGAGCACAGGGCGGGGAGAGGAGTGAGGCCTTGTCCCGCGCAGGCCCGGCGGCTCCCCGCAGCCCTGTCCCCCGCTCACCTTGGGCATGCTCGGCGGGAACCTGGCTTTGAAGGGGTCTTCCTTGTGCAAGGACCTCACCAGGCAGGAGCGGCGGTGGGAGAAGGTGATGAAGCTGAACTTGCCGTGGTAGCAGCCCATGCCGCTGTTCCCTGCGGGACCCGACAGACCGCGGCTCAGCCCCGCGCCAGCCCAGACCCTCCGGGAGGCCAGCTCCTGGCGCCCCCTAGCGGCCACCCCGGAGCCATGCAGAGCCCGGGATGAGGGGACCTGCTGGGCAGAGGGCGGAGCTCCTGGGCGGGTGCCCCCCAGGGGCTGAGGGCGCCGCGGACACGCAGGCCGGCGGAGGGCACAGGGAAAGGGGTGGCTCCGGCCCTGAGTTCCCATCCAGGGCGGGAAGGGCAGGTGGCAGACTCACCCACACCCCCGAAGGGCAGGGTGTGCACGGACAGGTGGATGATGACGTCGTTGGCCGTCACGCCGCCGCTCGACGTCTCGGCAATCATCTTCTTAATCACCTGCCGGGGACCCAGCGCACCCCTCAGGCTCCTGGTGGGCACCCTGAGCCCGAGCGCCAGCTGGGGCGCAGCCGGCGGTCTGGCCCGGCCTGGCCCGGCTACGTCTCCCTCCCGCTGCCCAGGCCCAGGGCAGGGGGCGCGGCGCCCCGGCTGCGGGCGCGGGTCCCAGCCGCGGGGAGCGGGGAGCGGGAGGTGGGGGCGGGGTGGGGAGGGGCCCGGCCCACCTTGTCGTTGTTGGAGAACACGTAGAGCGCCAGCGGCTTCTCGCGCTGGTTGATGAAGCGGATGGCCTCCTCCAGGCTGCGCACGGTCACGATGGGCATGATGGGCCCGAAGATCTCTTCCTGCATCACCGGGGACTCGGGGTCCACGTCCGTGAGGATGGTGGGGGCTGGCGGGAAGCCGCAGTCAGCCCCCCAGACCTCCCGCCGCAGTGGGGGCCCGGCTTCCCCGCTGACGGCCTCCCAGGCCACCCGAGCCCTTGTGAAGCCTCCAGCCTCCTGGCGACCTGGAGGCCCGGCCGCTGGTCCTCACGCCAGCCCTGCCCGGCCCCTGTGGTGCTGCCACCCGCTGCTGCATTGGGGGGGGGGGGCGGAGCTGCCCTTAGGCCTTGGGGGCGGGGCTTCTGGGCTGGGCCAGGCTGTCACCTCTCCGCCCAGGCCTGCACCACTCCCCTACCTCTCCCCCCCCAGGGGTTGTCTGCTCTCCCGGTATCTGTGCCCACTTGCTGCCCACGTGCAGGGCCCTGGCCGCGCTGGCAGGGCACACACCTATGTAGCGGGCGGCTGCGTCCCCGGTGCCTCCGTAGGCCACCTTCTGGCCCTCCAGCAGGCCCATCACCCTCTGGAAGTGCCGGGAGCTGATGATCCTCCCGTAGTCCCGGGACTTCTTGGCGTCCTCCCCATAGAACTCCTGTGGGCGAGGGGACAGGCTTCAGAGAGGGATGGGGCCTGGCGAGGCCGGGGGGAATGGCGGCTGGGAGGGCACAGGCGCTGGCCGGGCACCACGGGCACCAGGGCCGCCGGGCTCAGCGGGCACTGCTGTTCCCAGGGCCCGGCGGCGCTCACACTGCCCGGCGGGCGCTCAGGGGCAGCTGAGGCCGCAGACAGGCCCGGCGGCAGCGGCTGTCGTGGGGGGCAGGATTCTGGGGGACATTCCCTTCTTTATGCTTTTTAATCTTTTTCCAAATTATCTACAGAGTGTGGGCTGCTTTTATGGGCGGAGAAGAAGCCAGCTTTCTGAAGCCCGCGCCCGCCTGCAGGGCAGCCGCCCTGGCCGCGCTCACCTTCACGGCCTTCTTCAGCTTCTCCACCACCTGGCCTTGGATGGAGGGGTCGCAGAGGATGTAGTCGGGGGCCACGCAGGTCTGGCCGCTGTTCATGAACTTGCCCCAGGCGATGCGCCTGTGGAAACCGGCCAGACGTGTTCTCACCCGGAGGCTGCGGGCCGGCGCCCTGGCCCGCCGCTCAGGTCAGGCCTCAGGGGGTGGCTGCAGGTTCTGGCTGAGGCGCCCCCTGTCCCTGGACATGCTCCCTTCCCCCCCCCACCCCCCATCTTTCCCTCACCAGCGAGAGCAGGGTTCGGGGGATGTCTGGGCGGACAGCCTTTGTGCTCTTGAGCCCAATCCTGGGTCCCCGCCCTCGTGGGACGGGAAGCTGAGCTCCCCTCTCCTCTCCCCTCCTGCCTTCCCGGGCCTGCGGGTCCCCCTCGCCGCCCCCGCTCCGGCCCAGACCCAGGCCCAGGCCCAGGCCCGCAGGGCAGGGACGGCCTGTGTGTGTGTGTGTGTGTGTGTGTGTGTCCGTCCACAGCCGAGGTGCCGGGAGCCGGCAGTCAGCATGGCCCCAGCTCCCACGGGCGCTGAGCCTCACCGGCAGGCAACCTCCAGGTCGCAGTCCTTGTCCACGTAGCACGGGCTCTTCCCGCCCAGCTCCAGGGTCACCGGGGTCAGGTGCTTGGCCGCGGCCGTCATGATGATCTTGCCGACGCCGGTGCTCCCGGTGTACAGGATGTAGTCAAACCTCTCCTTGAGCACCTCCGAGGTCTCCGGGACTCCCCCATTGATCACCGGGTACAGATCCTTCCGAAGGGGAGAGTGAGGCTCAGAGAGGACCCCCTCCCCGCCCGGCAGCCACAGGCACGCAGCCCCCCCCCCCCCACACCCCGCTCAGGGCCCGCCCCAGAGGCAGAGGCCAGCGGCCCCCCCACCCCGGGCAGGCTCTCGGGGCGCACCTTGTCCAGGTACTGTGGGATGAGGGTGGCCAGCAGGCTCGCCATGTGCTCGCTCAGCTCCGAGGGCTTGATGACCACCGCGTTCCCTGCAAAGCACAGAGTCAGCGCCCCTGTGCCCCCCTCCCCGCCCCCCAGGGACCCAGCCTGCCGCCTCCCTCCTCCTGTGTCCTGGCAGGAGGGGCCACAGGCCTGTGTCGCCGTGGATGAGACCGGGAGGAGGGAGAGAGGGGAGGCGCCTGGAGGAAACCCTGGCACATCGCAGGGAGGCGGCCAGCGGCAGGGAGGGCGCTGCGGGGTGTGGGAGCCTGGCGGGGCCTGGAGGCCCGGAGGCCTGTTCCCGCGGCCCCAGTGGGACAGGCCCTCACACCCCCGGCCCAGCGCCTCTTCTCCACCCGGCCCGGCCCTCACAGAGAGGGACAGTGGCCTCCCTCCCTGCCTCCCTCTCTTCCCCGGCCCCCGGCCCGCACCGGCAGCGATGGCGCCCACCATGGGCTGCACCGTGAGGTCGAAGGGGTAGTTCCAGGTGCCGATGATCAGCGCCACGCCCAGCGGCTCCGAGTGGATGTAGCACTCGTCCTGCTGCGTCTGGGCGGTCTTCTCCACGTGCTCGTCCTGCACCCACTCCGGGAGGTTCTTGATGACGTAGTCGATCTCCTCCAGGCAGTACACCAGCTCATCGTGGTACGAGTTCCACTCGTTCTGCGGGGAGAGGCCCGTGAGCCCCCAGCCCACAGCGCTGAGTGGGCGACCCTGACCGACCTGCTACCTTTCCTGGCCTCTGTCTCCCAATCTGCCAAATGGGACATGATCTGTGCCTCCTAGCCGGGCCTGTCCCGCTTGCGGGGGTGATGGGGGCCGCAGTCTCCCCGGGCGGCGGGGGAGGCCGCAGGGGAACCGGGCTGGGGGAGCCATAGGGCGGTGGGTGGGTCTGCAGGTCTGGGCACAGGTGTCAGGTGCCTGAGGGGAGGGGGGCATTGGGGGGAGTGGGGATAGGGAGGGCGCCCCTTGGGGAGGCTTGAGGGATGGGGCGCCCCTTGGGGGGAGCCTGGGGGGGGAGCCCCTTGGGGAGAAGAGGGGGCGCACCCTGTGCAGGTCGGCGGCCAGCGCGCCCGCCAGGTCCTTCTCGCGCTCCTTGATCATGCGCCGCAGCGCCTCCAGCTGCTGGATGCGGAACTGCAGGGGCCGCGTGCGGCCCGACTCGAAGGCGGCCCGGGCGCGCTGCACCACCGCGCTGATCTTGCTCATGGTGCCTGCGGGGACCGACAGGGCGCTTGGAGCGGCGGGCTGTGCCCTCCTCCCCGCGCCCTCCTCCCCGCCCTCCCCGCGCCCTCCTCCCCGCGCCCTCCACCCTGCGCCCCCTGCGCCCTTTGCCCTCCACCCTGCGCCCTCCTCCCTGCGCCCTGCGCCCTCCTCCAGCTCCGCGGTGTCGTAGGGTTAGGGGCCTCTCCCGGGAGCGCCGGGAAAGGATATTCTTTGCCTCCGCAGCCCCCTGACAGACGCCTGGCCCCTCTGGCCCTCCGATCGCCCGGAGAACACGCCCCCCTCGCTGCAGGGAGGCGGGAAGGGGTGACGGGGCCGAGCCCAGTTCTGAAGGCGGGCGCCCCGAGCTCCCGGCGCCCAGGTCCTGGCGGCGGGGACCGCGGGGCCCTGACTGCACACCCAGGCCGGTTAAGGGACCCAGAGCCGCCCGGCCGGCTGCTCCGGGGTTAGAGCGCGGACTGAAGGGCCTCGGGTTCGATTCCCAGGTAAGGGCAACCCCGGCGAGGCTGCAGGTGGCATCCAGCCCCATGAGGGGCAGCCATCTGTGCGCCTCCCACATGGATGTCTCCCACATGGATGTCTCTGTGCGTCCCCCTCTCCGCTCTCTAAAAGCCCATGGAGAGCATGTCCCGGGTGAGGAGCAGCCAAAACAAAACGCAGAGCCCGGAGTCAACAGCCGGGTCCTTCGCAGAAGTCCTGCTTGCTAGGGAGGCAGACCCCGTGCGCGCCCGGACTCCGGACCGAGGTGGATAGGGCGCCCACGCAGAGCCAGGCCGTGGGAAGGCGGCCCTGGGGCGCTTACAGAAACCACAGCAATGTTCCCAGAGGTTCACGGACAAGAAAGTTCATCTTTGTTTATAACAGAAGCGGGACACACCCTCAGTGTGCGTGTCAGGGCCTGTTTTCCGGAAGGGGCGGGTGATTCCCGGCAGGGACAGGCAGGCCGCAAGGATCCAATGACCCCCCTCCTCTCCTCTCTCTGAAAATCAATTTTTAAAATAGTTTAAATAAAACTAAAAGGGCTCGTTGCCCCTGTGTGCTGGCTGAGGCAGAGGAGGGGAGGCAGGCGAGGTGTCAGCACCTGTGGCTGCGCCTGTGCCCCAGGAGGGAGGAGAAAGAAGCAGGCTCCCGCGGGTGTGCCCTGGAGAGGGGGCCCAGGGCAGCCCAGGGTGAGCCCCGAGGGAGGAATCAGTGGCGCTAAACTTTCTGCCATGAATGTCATCTAGTTAAATGGTGGTTAGCACACTGAGACATGTCACCTCACACCGGCCAGAATGGCCACCATCAACAAATCAACACACAAGGGCTGGCGAGGATGAGAAGACAGGGAGCCCTCGTGCACTGCTGGTGGGAACGCAGGCTGGCGCAGCCGCTGTGGAGAACAGTATGGAGTTTCCTCGAAAAATTAAATATGGAGCTGCCATTCGACCCAGTGACCCCACTTCTAGAAATATATCCCAAGAAACCAGAAACACCAATCAGAAAGGATATGTGCATCCCTGTGTTCATAGAAGCACAATTCACAGTAGCTAAGATCTGGAAACAGCCACGTGCCCATCAGCAGAGGAGGGGATAGAAAGCTGTGGTACATTTACACCGTGGGATACTATGCAGCTGTGAAAAGAAGGAGCTCTTCGAGGGAGGAGCCTGGAGAGCATTGTGCTAAGTGAATTAACTCAAATACCATGTGATCTCACTCGTACGGGGAGCCTAATGAACCAAATAAACTGGTGAACTAAAGAGAAACAGAGGCAAGGATGCATGAACAGCCTGACAGCTGCCGGAGGGGAGGAGAGGAGAGGAGAGGACTGGATGAACGAGGTGAGGGATTAGCGAAGAGCATGCGTGCGTACCCACAGACACAGACCACCGTGGCCAGAGGGAGGGGGAACAGGTGGGCAAAGGGGTGGGGGACCTCTGAAATAGTGTCAACAATAAAAATAAAAATAAAGTGTTTGTTAACTCTCTGAATACAGGTGGTCGGCAGTGCTCATGGTAGAACATGCAAAAGAGACAAAAGGGGTCACGGAGACGTGAGCTCCCCCTCAGCAGCTCCTGCTGTCCCCCCAGAGGCCCCCACTTCAGATGTTGCTTCACTCCTAACATCAGAAGAAAAGTAAAAGAAAGAAAATGCTACAATACGGCTGTTTCCATTCTGCAAAAAAAATTACATGGACCATGTATAGTATATGTATGTATACCACATATACAATTTATGTATGTAATACATGCATATATGATATATACTACGTGTCATATATATGATATCTATTATTATATATGGTATAGATAATTTTTGAAAAAATGGAAGTGTGTGTGTGTGTGTGTGTGTGTGTGTGTGTGTTCCTACAAGTGGTTGCTGATCCCCCGCTCCCTCCCCCCCACCCGGCACAGCACAGACAGGGCCCTGCTGGCATGCAGGATGCCCCAGCCTGGAGGTACCAGGGGCCCCTCCCTAGAGTCTTTGGGGGGCCGGAGGGAGCCCTCTCCCTGGTGCCCATGCTGGCCATGAGTCCAGCCACACCGCCCAGCAGGAAGGCCCTCACACCCTGCCAGCCTCGCATCACTCAGAGCAGCCCTCGACCTGGGAGCCATGGCTGGGCAGCCAGCATGAGACCCCGTGGGCAGGGCAGCGGGCACTCGGTCCCAGTCCTGCGCCTCCCTCTGCACCGCTGCCCTCAGGGCCTGCCCACCTCACCGGGCCACTGTGCCCAGGCACCCGTGGATGCTCCTTCCTCATCTCCTCTGGTCCCCAAAGAGTTCGAGCTGTTCGGGCCCCTTCACAGAGGACAGCAGGGCCCAAGGCGTCAGGTGCTCTCAGTCAGCAAGTGGCAAAGCAGGACTGCACCCGCTCCCCTCAGCCTCCGCTCCCTTTACTGCTGAGCCTGCCACCCCTCGGGAGGGGAGGGGGCTTTTCACCCACCATCCCGGGCGCCCTCCTTCTCCAGTCCTGGGTGCCCCTCCCAGCGCTGGGGCACAGAGCTGCCCGGGGTGGGCTCTGGGTCCTCAGGGGCAGCCGCAGAGCCGTTCCCACCAGGCCCCCCGGGGAAAGGAAAGGGTTACCTCTGGCTGACGGTCCGGTACCTCTGACTGGGCGGCTGGGCGGCTGGCGCTCTGGGGTGCACAGCGGCCTGCAGGGGATGCTTTTAAGGGCCTTCTCCCCACCGCTCAGCCCTCCTCCCGCCCACTCCGCCTGGCACCCTCTCCCCTCCCTGATGTTGTGTAAGGAGACCAAAACAGTATTCAAATGCGGGTGCTCCCGCTCTCCTCGGGATTAGCCCTTTGTTCGCCTCTAAATGCCAGAATGTGTCTTTGAGGCTTGGGCGGGGTCACAGCCAATCTTCCCTGGAGCCCGGGCTGTGTTTGCCCTGGGTGGGGGCTCTGCTGATTGATTCAGCCTGACTGGACTGCCTCCAGGTTTCCAAAGTGCAGCTGCGACTGTGCTCCTGGTCTCCCGGTTGCGTAAGCTCGGCAGGGGTGCGGTGGGAGACGGGAGAGTCACGCAGCTCCCTGAGATGCCCACTGCGTGGCACAGCCAGGCAGAGGCCCCAACCCAGCCCTGCCAGCCCGGGCCTCCCCCTGAGCATCAGGGAAGAGGCAGGAGCCGGTGGGAACAGCCAGGGGGCGCCCTGTGGGGTCAGCGGGGAACCAGACGTGCTTGGGAAGGAAGGGTCTGCCAGGCCGTGCTCCACTGTCCTCCAGGCGTTTGCCAGCATCTGCTCTGTGCCACGCAGGGGATGGCGGCACAATCAGCCACTCACCCCTCACACATCCCTGCCCCTGCCGCATAGACTCTCGGCCTCCTCCCCCAAACCATAGCCATTGGGACGCACGTAGGTGCTCCAGGGACTCCGATAAGGGTCATGGCGGGGAAACCGTGTCTGAACCAGAGAGAGGTGTTTCGGCAAGGAGCAGACGCAAAGGCAGAGGCACAGAGGCGGGGACCAAGCCGCAGTCATTAGCTGTCAGATGTCCACCGCGGTCATTGGCGTGTGATGTGTGCACGTTATCGGCAGGAGCGGGGGAGGCGGCTCTGGGGCCGCGGGCCCAGGAGTCTGTGAGCATGCAGAGGCCTATGCCTGAGGTTTCTGCTTTTAGGGAATCCCTCCGAATGAGGTCCGGACAGAAAGCGGCAGCCTCCAGGGGTGGGGGCAAGAAAGGACAAGACCCCAGGGTGGATGGGCAGATGGGAACATTCCGGAACAGCAGAAGACCACACTGGCCGGCTCTGGCGCCCGGGCGCCTGGGCTGGGCGGTGGGCAGAGATGGGGCACCCTCTGAGGTGGGGTGGAGCAGGTGTGTGGACCAGGCCTGTGTCAGCCTGGAACCCTCCCCACCAACGGCTCCCACTCTCTGGGTGGCACCGGCTATCAGGAGGTGACCCTTGCCCTCGCTGTAGGCTTGGTGAGGTGGCCGGCCGGGCGCTCCGCCGCACACTCGCCCGGTGAGCGCGGCTTCCCCGAGGCGCCGGGCTCTGCGGGGACTTGCTGGGTGGGAGGCAGGATGCGAGGCCGGAGCCAGAGGGACTGAGTCACGGTGACTGCGCTCGGCCCGGCTTCAGCTCCCGCAGCTCAGGGGCCTGGTCCTTCCACAGCCGGTTCCCCCTCTGGCCTCTGCTCCCGGGGAGCGTGGTCCCATGGAAGGGGCTGAGATGAGCCCCTGAGCCCCCTCCTCTCACCCCTGCCTCCCCCATGGACCCCCACTGCCGTGCTCCCTGCTCCTAGCACCGCGTCCACCTCAGTTCCTCCCTCATCCTCATCCTCAGCCGAGGCGACCCCGGCGAACGTGGGGCAGATGGAAAACACGTGAGGGCAGCGGCTCCTGGGCACAGGCGTTCGGCTCGCGGGCGCCCCTGTAAACATGGGTGGGGCAGCAGCTTCTCGCCCTGGTCACACGGAGCCAGCATCTCACAGCTCGCTTGTCTCGTGGAGAACAGAGTCTTTGAAATCAGCACTCTCATTGTTTTGGTCACGTTTCAGCGTGGC